GGAAATTTTCAGCACACTATTTACATCCCCTTTATTTATTCCTGTTTTCCATTTATACACCTCGATCATATCCCCCCTAATTCTACGCCTTTCAAGAGAGTGCAGATTCAGGGCCCTCAGTGTATCCTCATAGGGAAGATTTCTAATACATGGGATCATCTTTGTCATCCTCCTTTGTACGTTTTTCAGAGCATTTATATCCATTCTGTAATACAGTGACCAGAACTGAGCAGCATAGTCTAAATGAGGTCTAACCAAGGATATATAGAGTTGAAGAACAACCTGAGGACTTCTATTATTTATACTTCTAGATATGAAGCCAAGAATTCTGTTAGCTTTATTGCAAACACTAATGCACTGTTGTCTTGGTTTTAGATTACTGCTAACCAGAACTCCTAAATCCTTTTCGCAATCAGTAGTATTAAGATCTACATTATTTAGTTTATATGTGGCATGGTTATTTAACTGTCCATCATTTAGAACTTTGCATTTGTCAATATTAAGCTGCATCTGCCACTTCTCTGACCATTGCGTCAGTCTATTCAAATCATCCTGGAGTGCTCTAATGTCCTCATTAGAATGAATTGGACTGCCTATTTTGGTGTCATCAGCAAATTTGCCTATGCCGCTATTTATTCCCTCATCTATGTCGTTTATGTAAATTGTGAACAACAACGGGTCCAACACTGACCCCTGAGGAACACCGCTTGTGATGTGCCCCCATTCTGATTTCTCCCCATTTATGCAAACTCTTTGCTGTCTATTTGTCAGCCATGCCTCTACCCAGGAAAAAATTTCTCCTCCTATTCCGTGTGCCCTAAGTTTCCTCAATAGCCTCTGGTGTGGAACTATTGAAAGCCTTACTGAAGTTCATATACACAATATCATATTCATTACCATGATCTACCTCCTCAAATACCTTAGTGAAAAAGTTAGTAAATTCGTAAGACAGGAACGCCCCTTTGTAAAACCGTGTTGAGATTCATTAATCAATCTGTGCCTGTCAAGATGACTACGAATTGCTTCTGCAATTATTGGTTCTATAAATTTTCCCACTATGGAGGTAAGGCTTATTGGTCTATAGTTCGAAGCCAAGGACCTATCACCTGCCTTGTAAATAGGTATTACATTTGCCATTTTCCACTTATCAGGCACTATGCCAGTTTGTAGTGACATGTTATAAAAGATTAGCCAAAGGTATGCTAAGTTCCTCTTTACATTCCTTTAACACCCTTGCAAACAGTTCATCAGGACCTGGGGATTTGTTAGGTTTTAGTTTCTCTGTTTGTCTGAGGACCACGTCACTAGTTACCGCAATCGTACATAGTTTATCATCATCCTGTTCTACATAATCTATTATTTCAGGAATATTGCTAGTATTTTCCTGGGTGAAAACTGAGAGGAAGTAGGTATTTAGAATTTCAAACACATTCTTATCACTGTCAGTGATCTGACCAGTGTTACTCTTAAGTGGGCCAGTCTTGTCCCTAATCTTACTTCTGTATACCTGAAAGAACCCTTTTGGGTTAGTCTTTGAATCCCTTGCAACCTTAGCTTCATAATCCCTTTTTGCTTTTCTTATTCCTTTTTTTATTTCTCTCTTTAATTGAATATATTGATTTCTTAACTGCCCATCCCCTCTTTTGATACACCTATATATGCCTCTCTTTTGACCAATGAGATGTTTTAATCTATTGTTCATCCATTTGGGATCATTTTTGTTAGATCTAATTTCCCTACTCGGAACAAAAGTTGTCTGGGCAACTAGTACTTTGCTCTGAAAAACGTCATATTGGCAACCAAGATCACCTACCTGACCCATAGTCAGGACATCCCAATTTAGCCCACCCAAGTAATTTTTCAGTCTCATGAAGTCGCCAAGTGAAAATCTGGGACAGAGATTTGATTGCAGTTATCTGGGTAATTCCATGATATGTTGAAACTAAGTGATTTGTGATCACTTTCCCCAAGCTCATCATTAACCTCAAGATTATTAATTAGTGAATCTTTGTTGGCAAGGACCAAGTCAAGCAGATTGTTTCCTCTAGTTGGTTCTGTCACAAACTGTTCTAAAAAGCAATCCTGAACCGTATCAAGGAAGTCACTAGACTCAAGATTTCCTGTCATATTGTTCCAATCAATTTGTCTAAAGTTAAAATCTCCCATTATCACAACATTTTCATATCTAGATGCCTTATGAATTTCGTCCCATAACAGCTTACTGCCCTCCCTATCAAGGTTTGGAGGCCTATAAATCACACCCACAATTAATTTGTCACGTCCCTCGAGAAACTGTAGCCAAACAGATTCTGTGTTCGATGTTTCTAATCTTATATCATGTCTAAGACAACAATTTAAATTTTCTCTGACATACATCTCCACACCACCACCCTTCCTGTTGACCCTATCAGTGTGGAATAGTTTATAACCCTGTATGTTGCATTCAGAAGGCATTTCTCCATCTTTCAGGTTGAACCAGGTCTGTTATACCAATAATATCTATATTACCTACACTTGCAAGTAATTTTAGCTCATCTATCTTATTTCTTAGACTCCTACTATTTGTATAGTAAACCTTAAGGGAGCTCGTCACTCGTTGCCCTCTACTGTCTCTCTTTGTTTGTTGATCAATTGATTTGCCATTACTAGCAACTTTATTTTGAATATTGTCTTTTAAACATATCCCTGAGGTATCCCGGTAATAACTACTATTTTTAACCCTAATGCTGCAGCCTGATTGTTTCCCACAAACACCCATACCTCTATAATCTATCAATTTAAATTCCTAGACAAGTCAACAATTGCCCTCTCAATTGAATTGGCTAATGCAACCACTCCATCCCCAGAGAGATGAACCCCATCCCATGCATACATATCACGTTTGCCAAAGAATAGGTCCCAGTTATCAATGAATGGGATTGCAAGTTCCTTGCAGTACCTGTCTAGCCAGCAATTTATACCAATTGCCCTAGACATCCATTCATTGCCCACTCCCTTTCTAGGCAAGATGCTACATATGACTGGGATCCCTCCCCTAGACCTAACTACTACTATGGCTGACCTGTACTTATCCAGCAGCTCCTCTCTCCTGCCCTTCCCAGTGTCATTACCCCAGATGGCTTCTTATATTATCAGCTATAATTGACTCTAGTAATTTGCCTACAATTGAGGTTAGGCTTATTGGGCGGTAATTTGACGATAACGACTTGTCCCCTGCTTTAAAAATAGGAATTACATTAGCCATCTTCCACATATCAGACACTACACCTGTCTGAAGAGAAATATTAAAAATATTAGTCAATGATTCACAAAGTTCCATTTTACACTCTTTAAGAACCCTTGAAAAAAGTTCCTCAGGGCCTGGGGATTTATTTTGCTTTAACCGGTCTATCTGTTTTATAACCATTTCGCTAGTGACTGTGATATTGCATAATTTATCATCTTCAGGCCCACTATAAAAATTAATTACTGGGATATTGTTAGTGTCTTCCTGAGTGAAAACTGAGAGAAAATAATTATTAAGAATAGAGCACATTTCAATCTCCTTGTCAGTAAGATGCCCAGAGTTACTGTTAAGGGGACCTATCTTATCTCTAACTTTTGTTCTATAAACCTGGAAAAAACTTTTTGGGTTTTCGAATCCCTAGCAACTTTAATTTCATAGTCCCGTTTAGCTTTTCTTATCCCCTTTTTAACGTCCCTCTTAATGTCAATATACTGATTCATAAGATGACCCTCACTTCTTTTGATACGCCCATAAATTCCTTTTTTTCTGCCCTAAAAGATATTTGAGCCTATTATTCATCCATTTGGGGTCATTTCTATTCGATCTAATTTCCTTATATGGGATAAATGTCCTTTGGGCAGCATGTATTGTGTTAAGAAAGCTGTCATACTGATAGCCAAGCTTATTGCTTGGGTAGCACTGAAAATTGAGTTGGGCAAATATTCTGTTAGCATGATGGATTGTGAAGGACTTGCCTAGTATGGGCCAACAGGCCTACTGCACTGTTCTGCCATTCTTATGTTCTTATAACCACATTAGGCAGCCTGTTCCACTCATCAACATAAGAACATAGAGGAGCACTGCAGTAGGCCTGTTGACCTATACTTGGCAGATCCTTCACAAATCCAACCACTAACAGAATGAACACTACCCAAGCAATAAGCTTTGATAATTCTATTTACTCACATGTACATCACACTCAGATCCAACCCCTCTCACTCGTATATTTATCCAACCTAAATTTGAAACTACCCAAGGTTTTAGCTTCGATAGGACCTTGGGTAGCTTTAAAAAGAGATTGGACAAATATACGAGTGGGAGGAGCATGTATGTACATGTATATACAATACATGTATGTATCTTATGATGTTTTCATGTGTTTTATGATTGTTCATGGTTCAATAGGTTAAGGAAGCAGTATTGCACTATATTTCCTTACAATATATTGGGGCACCAAACATTTGCGATTTTTCAACATTCGCAAGGGGATTGATCCCCTAGCCCTCGGGAATGTTGAGGGAGACCTGTATTTTTTTTCCTGCCTCCTGAGAGCAGGAATTCCGCTGGAACAGATTAATGGCATTTCAGTTAATTTAAATGAGGAAAATTGATTTGATATACAAGCAAATTAAGTTATGAGCTGGGTCACGGAATGGATTAAACTTGTAAGTCGAGGTTCCACTTTATATTATGCTATAGTATTAAAAATTCACCGTTTGCATGTGCATGTGAAGGTTCTGCTGTAAAGTTTGAAAAATGGTTACCATTTAGACACTTACAATTATACTAGAACCATTTTTTAAAATGTTTTACATGTATTTTCTGATTTAATAATACAGAAGAGATGTGAATGTGCCCATCACTAGCAAGTTTTCATTGATAAAAGATCATTGGTAATTGAAGGAAATAAAATTGTATTTGTATTATAATGAACTGTTTGATGATGAGACAGGATGTACCGTATAATTTAATACTATACTTGTATTCGTTACAGGTTGTAAAATTATGAGTGAAGTGTATGTTGACGGATTCATGTGGACTCGGGGTTGTCATCACTACTCCTGTGCTTCAGGCTCTGTGACGACCACTGTCCAGGAGACGTGTTAGTAAATACCTTTAAGAAAATGAAATTTTGTTCATGTGCCTATTGTAGAAAATTAACAAGTACTAAGTTTTACTTGCTAGAGTTAATATTGGTAGAGATTAATATTTTTTATGATGGAGATATAATTATAAAGGTAGTAGGTTGGTAGACAGCAACCACCCAGGGAAGTACTACCGTCCTGCCAGATGACTGTGAAACAAAAACCTGTAACTGTTTTGCATGATGGTAGGATTGCTGGTTTCTTTTTCTGTCTCATAAACACGCTAAGATAACAGGGATATCTTGCTACTCCTACTTACACTTTGGTCACACTTCACAGACACGCACATGCATATATATATATACATACATCTAGGTTTTTCTCCTTTTTCTAAATAGCTCTTGTTCTTTTTTATTTCTTCTATTGTCCATGGGGAAGTGGAAAAGAATCTTTCCTCCGTAAGCCATGCGTGTCGTATGAGGCGACTAAAATGCCGGGAGCAATGGGCTAGTAACCCCTTCTCCTGTATACAATTACTAAAAAAGAGAAGAAGAAAAACTTTATAAAACTGGGTTGCTTAAATGTGCGTGGATGTAGTGCGGATGACAAGAAACAGATGATTGCTGATGTTATGAATGAAAAGAAGTTGGATGTCCTGGCCCTAAGCGAAACAAAGCTGAAGGGGGTAGGAGAGTTTCAGTGGGGGGAAATAAATGGGATTAAATCTGGAGTATCTGAGAGAGTTAGAGCAAAGGAAGGGGTAGCAGTAATGTTAAAATGATCAGTTATGGAAGGAGAAAAGAGAATATGAATGTGTAAATTCAAGAATTATGTGGATTAAAGTAAAGGTTGGATGCGAGAAGTGGGTCATAATAAGCGTGTATGCACCTGGAGAAGAGAGGAATGCAGAGGAGAGAGAGAGATTTTGGGAGATGTTAAGTGAATGTATAGGAGCCTTTGAACCAAGTGAGAGAGTAATTGTGGTAGGGGACTTGAATGCTAAAGTAGGAGAAACTTTTAGAGAGGGTGTGGTAGGTAAGTTTGGGTGCCAGGTGTAAATGATAATGGAGCCCTTTGATTGAACTTTGTATAGAAAGGGGTTTAGTTATAGGTAATACATATTTTAAGAAAAAGAGGATAAATAAGTATACACGATATGATGTAGGGCGAAATGACAGTAGTTTTGTTGGATTATGTATTGGTAGATAAAAGACTGTTGAGTAGACTTCAGGATGTACATGTTTATAGAGGGGCCACAGATATATCAGATCACTTTCTAGTTGTAGCTACACTGAGAGTAAAAGGTAGATGGGATACAAGGAGAATAGAAGCATCAGGGAAGAGAGAGGTGAAGGTTTATAAACTAAAAGAGGAGGCAGTTAGGGTAAGATATAAACAGCTATTGGAGGATAGATGGGCTAATGAGAGCATAGGCAATGGGGTCGAAGAGGTATGGGGTAGGTTTAAAAATGTAGTGTTAGAGTGTTCAGCAGAAGTTTGTGGTTACAGGAAAGTGGGTGCAGGAGGGAAGAGGAGCGATTGGTGGAATGATGATGTAAAGAGAGTAGTAAGGGAGAAAAAGTTAGCATATGAGAAGTTTTTACAAAGTAGAAGTGATGCAAGGAGGGAAGAGTATATGGAGAAAAAGAGAGAGGTTAAGAGAGTGGTGAAGCAATGTAAAAAGAGAGCAAATGAGAGAGTGGGTGAGATGTTATCAACAAATTTTGTTGAAAATAAGAAAAAGTTTTGGAGTGAGATTAACAAGTTAAGAAAGCCTAGAGAACAAATTGATTTGTCAGTTAAAAATAGGAGAGGAGAGTTATTAAATGGAGAGTTAGAGGTATTGGGAAGATGGAAGGAATATTTTGAGGAATTGTTAAATGTTGATGAAGATAGGGAAGCTGTGATTTCGTGTATAGGGCAAGGAGGAATAACATCTTGTAGGAGTGAGGAAGAGCCAGTTGTGAGTGTGGGGAAGTTCGTGAGGCAGTAGGTAAAATGAAAGGGGGTAAGGCAGCCGGGATTGATGGGATAAAGATAGAAATGTTAAAAGCAGGTGGGGATATAGTTTTGGAGTGGTTGGTGCAATTATTTAATAAATGTATGGAAGAGGGTAAGGTACCTAGGGATTGGCAGAGAGCATGCATAGTTCCTTTGTATAAAGGCAAAGGGGATAAAAGAGAGTGCAAAAATTATAGGGGGATAAGTCTGTTGAGTGTACCTGGTAAAGTGTATGGTAGAGTTATAATTGAAAGAATTAAGAGTAAGACGGAGAATAGGATAGCAGATGAGCAAGGAGGCTTTAGGAAAGGTAGGGGGTGTGTGGACCAGGTGTTTACAGTGAAACATATAAGTGAACAGTATTTAGATAAGGCTAAAGAGGTCTTTGTGGCATTTATGGATTTGGAAAAGGCGTATGACAGGGTGGATAGGGGGCAATGTGGCAGATGTTGCAAGTGTATGGTGTAGGAGGTAGGTTACTGAAAGCAGTGAAGAGTTTTTTAACGAGGATAGTGAGGCTCAAGTTAGAGTATGTAGGAAAGAGGGAAATTTTTTCCCAGTAAAAGTAGGCCTTAGACAAGGATGTGTGATGTCACCGTGGTTGTTTAATATATTTATAGATGGGGTTGTAAGAGAAGTAAATGCGAGGGTCTTGGCAAGAGGCGTGGAGTTAAAAGATAAAGAATCACACACAAAGTGGGAGTTGTCACAGCTGCTCTTTGCTGATGACACTGTGCTCTTGGGAGATTCTGAAGAGAAGTTGCAGAGATTGGTGGATGAATTTGGTAGGGTGTGCAAAAGAAGAAAATTAAAGGTGAATACAGGAAAGAGTAAGGTTATGAGGATAACAAAAAGATTAGGTGATGAAAGATTGAATATCAGATTGGAGGGAGAGAGTATGGAGGAGGTGAACGTATTCAGATATTTGGGAGTGGACGTGTCAGCGGATGGGTCTATGAAAGATGAGGTGAATCATAGAATTGATGAGGGAAAAAGAGTGAGTGGTGCACTTAGGAGTCTGTGGAGACAAAGAACTTTGTCCTTGGAGGCAAAGAGGGGAATGTATGAGAGTATAGTTTTACCAACGCTCTTATATGGGTGTGAAGCGTGGGTGATGAATGTTGCAGCGAGGAGAAGGCTGGAGGCAGTGGAGATGTCATGTCTGAGGGCAATGTGTGGTGTGAATATAATTCAGAGAATTCGTAGTTTGGAAGTTAGGAGGAGGTGCGGGATTACCAAAACTGTTGTCCAGAGGGCTGAGGAAGGGTTGTTGAGGTGGTTCGGACATGTAGAGAGAATGGAGCGAAACAGAATGACTTCAAGAGTGTATCAGTCTGTAGTGGAAGGAAGGCGGGGTAGGGGTCGGCCTAGGAAGGGTTGGAGGGAGGGGGTAAAGGAGGTTTTGTGTGCGAGGGGCTTGGACTTCCAGCAGGCATGCGTGAGCGTGTTTGATAGGAGTGAATGGAGACAAATGGTTTTTAATACTTGACGTGCTGTTGGAGTGTGAGCAAAGTAACATTTATGAAGGGATTCAGGGAAACCGGCAGGCCGGACTTGAGTTCTGGAGATGGGAAGTACAGTGCCTGCACTCTGAAGGAGGGGTGTTAATGTTGCAGTTTTAAAAACTGTAGTGTAAAGCACCCTTCTGGCAAGACAGTGATGGAGTGAATGATGGTGAAAGTTTTTCTTTTTCGGGCCACCCTGCCTTGGTGGGAATCGGCCGGTGTGATAATAAATAAATAAAATAAATAATTATGCTGCAGAAACTTGGTTAATTTAAAGTAAAAGTTTTAACACTGCCTCCTAATCAAGAATCGTGCATAAGACTACTGTATTTGATTGCTAAGCCAGTATGATAATAGCTCTAATAACTGTGGGGATGAAGGTATTTTTTTTTTATCAGGAGAAATGAAGAAAATGTAAATGGGCATAGATCTAAGGCAAATGATAACTTGGTCAGTGGAGCTCTTGGGCATTTGATCAAGACTTTTTACCAACTTACTGATACTCGCAGTTAAAAATATATCACATTCTGAGACATCATAGCAATTGTACACAACAATCTGTTTTATATTTAACCAGCTACAATATTTCAATAGGTTGTGAGGTACTTGGTGAGGTATATACCAATGGGCAGAACTGGAAACAAGGTTGCCACAATTATACTTGCAATTTTGGGATGCCAGAATCCAATGTTGTGCTGGACACATGTGAGTACAGTATCTTGTTCTTGTTCTTTGCAGTATAGTGAAACCTTGGCTTGCGAGTGCCCCACCATGCGAGTTTTTCAGGATACAAGCAGTCGCTCAGTCGATTTTTTGCTTCTGGATACGAGCGGGCCTCAAGGGGGGTTCCTTGATGCTGGTGAGGGGCTCTTGCTCTTGATCTACGGAATTGGATCACAGTTGTTTGTTGGACTATCTTATTGAAACTTGGGCAATGCATGATGGAAAGATGTTTCTTAATGTACACCAAAATTGAAAGAACTTGGACCATAAATAACGGAATTCATATCTCAGCCATTAGCTGCCCCTTAGCGGTATATTTTTGTATGGTTATATTCTTGTTTTTTTTTTTTGTCTCATTTGATAGAATGGAAGATATATATGGAAATAGATATGATTTTGATTGGTTTCACAACAAAAAGTACCTTGAAATTGAGCTCAAAGTAGCAGAAATGTTTGATTCAAGAGTAAACAAATGACGTCACCATCCAATACTTGTCCAACTGGCCAGTCTAATACACAGTTACGAATGGGTTGATGTTACAGTGAAACCCTGAATCGGCTGCTTCGGGTTTTGGCCGCTTTTTTTGGCCAAATTTTGTCCTGCGTTATGGCCGTTGCCCTGGGTTTTGGCCGGCATACCAGATCTATCTGCCTGCCCGTGCTTGCGCACCTGCCCGCACAGGCGTCATCAGCCAGTCTAGTGTTGTTTATCCTTGAGTGAACATTACCCTGTGCTGCCATCCAGCCAGCCAGGCAGCCATCCAGCTAGGCAGCCATCCAGATAGGCAGCCATCCAGCTAGGCAGCCAGCCAGCTAGGCAGCCAGCCAGCTAGGCAGCCAGCCAGCTAGGCAGCCAGCCAGCTAGGCAGCCAGCCAGGCAGGCAGCCAGGCAGGCAGCCAGCCAGTCAGTCAGTCTCAGTCAGTCAGTCTCAGTCAGTCAGTCTCAGTCAGTCAGTCTCAGCCAGCCAGTCAGTCAGTCTCAGCCAGCCAGTCAGTCAGTCTCAGCCAGTCAGTCAGTCTCAGCCAGTCAGTCAGTCTCAGCCAGTCAGTCTCAGCCAGCCAGCCATTAATTGTGAATGTGAAAAGTATGCAAAGTGGAATGAGTTGCAAACTTTTGTTGAAAAGTATCATCCTGACCAAGCTGAAACAAGCCATATCTGCAACATGTTCAGTGACAAAACCTTGTCCCACTTCAGGGAAATCTTAGAGATGCCAGAAACAGAGCACTCTTGAGTTATTTTGCGAGACAGGGGTCCAGTGACTCTCAAGCTGGTCCTAGTGGCCTTAAAAGACAAAGAAGGGAAGTAACCCCAGAAAAGGACTTGTTACTTAGTCTTTATGGAAGGGGATTCCCCTTCCAAACAAGTCCTCCATCTTTCCTCCTCCCTATCTTCCAGATGCCAGCAAGTCTCTTCAATAAAGGTAAGTACATGTTATTTTAAATGTTTATTTAAATTTTAATTTATTTGTATAATATACATATATGTATTTATCTGTGTTGTGTGTATGTAAAACTATAGTTATTATTTAAAAAATGTATTATTTGTGAATATTTTTGTGGGTCTGGAACGGATGAATTTTATTTACATCATATCTTATGAAGCATATATGTGAGCAGTATTTAGATAAAGGTAGGGAAGTTTGTATTGCATTTATGGATTTAGAAAAGGCATATGATCGTGGATAGGGAAGCAATGTGGTGGATGTTGCAAGTATATAGAATAGGTAGTAAGTTACTAAATGCTGTAAAGAGTTTTTATGAGGATAGTGAGGCTCAGGTTAGGGTGTGTAGAAGAGAGGGAGACTACTTCCTGATAAAAGTAGGTCTTAGACAGGAATGTGTAATATCACCATGCTTGTTTAACCCGTAAATGGTCCAAGTAGATCTACTTTCACATGGGCAGTGCTCCAAAAGTAGATCTACATTTTTTTTTACATATTTTCAAATATAGCAAAAAAAAAAATAGATCAAAGTTTTTTTACACATTTTCAAATGTAAAAAAACAAAAAGAAGTCTGCTTTTTTTACATACTTTCAAATGTTGAAAAAACGTATATATACATTTGGACAGTTTACGGGTTAATATATTTATAGATGGGGTTGTAAAAGAAGTAAATGCTAGGGTGTTCGGGAGAGGGGTGGGATTAAATTATGGGGAATTAAATACAAAATGGGAAGTGACAGTTACTTTTTGCTGATGATACTGTGCTTATGGGAGATTCTAAAGAAAAATTGCAAAGGTTAGTGGACGAATTTGGGAGTGTGTGTAAAGGTAGAAAGTTGAAAGTGAACATAGAAAAGAGTAAGGTGATGAGAGTATCAAATGATTTAGATAAAGAAAAATTGGATATCAAATTGGGGAGGAATAGTATGGAAGAAGTGAATGTTTTCAGATATTTGGGAGTTGACGTGTCAGCAGATGGATTTATGAAGGATGAGGTTAATCATAGAATTGATGAAGGAAAAAAGGTGAGTGGTGCATTGAGGTATATGTGGAGGCAAAAAATGTTATCTATGGAGGCAAAGAAGGGAATGTATGAAAGTATAGTAGTACCAACACTCTTATATGGGTATGAAGCTTGGGTTGTAAATACTGCGGCGAGGAGGTGGTTGGAGGCAGTGGAGATATCCTGTATAAGGGCAATGTGTGGCGTAAATATTATGCAGAAAATTTGGAGTGTGGAAATTAGGAGAAGGTGTGGAGTTAATAAAAGTATTAGTCAGAGGGCTGAAGAGGGTTTGTTGAGGTGGTTTGGTCATTTAGAGAGAATGGATCAAAGTAGAATGACATGGAGAGCGTATAAATCTGTAGGGGAAGGAAGGCGGAGTAGGGGTCGTCCTCAAAAAGGTTGGAGGGAGGGGGTAAAGAAGGTTTTGTGGGCGAGGGGTTTGGACTTCCATCACCTTACTCAGGCTCTGATCCACCAGGAGGCCTGGTCACAGACCGGGCTGTGGGGGCGTTGACCCCCAGAACTCTCTCCAGGTAAACTCCAGGTAAGCGTGCGTGAGTGTGTTAGATAGGAGTGAATGGAGACAAATGGTATTTGGGACCTGACGAGCTGTTGGAGTGTGAGCAGGGTAATATTTAGTGAAGGGATTCAGGGAAACCGGTTATTTTATATAACCGGACTTGAGTCCTGGAAATGGGAAGTACAATGCCTGCACTCTGAAGGAGGGGTTTGGGATATTGGCAGTTTGGAGGGATATATTGTGTATTTTTATACGTCTAAACTGTTGTATTCTGGGCACCTCTGCAGAAACAGTGATTATGTGTGAGTGAGGTGAAAGTGTTGAATGATGATGCAAGTATTTTCTTTTTGGGGATTTTCTTTCTTTTTGGGTCACCCTGCCTCAGTGGGAGACGGCAGGCTTGTTATAAAAAAAAAAAATCTTATGGGAAATATTGCTTCGCCTTTTGGCCACTTCACGGTTAGGCTTAGCTCCTGGAATGAAATACGGTTGAAACCCGAGGTTTCACTGTTTTTATAGAATTATTACAATAATGCAGTAGTCTGCATAACAGTAAATCTTCTATTGTTTGTGTGAATAAAAATTCAAAATGGTAAGCAAGAGTATTATTTTAAGAATATGTATGTACTAATAAATAATAATAATAATAATAATATGTATAATGTAATAATTATATAGAGTGGACCCTTGGTTAATGATGCTATCGTCATCCCGAATGTGTCTGCGCAGCCTGAGCCCATGTAAAGCCAGTGTGCCATTGCTTACAAGCCAGGGAGGACAGTTCCATGTGTACATGTGATATATACCTACCATCCGACTTACGACTGAGTTCGGTTCCGAGAAACCGGTCGTAAGTCGAACTTTACTACTGAATATCAACAAAACATTTTTGTAATGACTTTATTTTATTGTTTTATTTTGGTATTTCATGTTTTACTTTACTTTTTATGTTGTTAGTACTGTATTTTATACTGTAAGGTTTAGGATAAACACTGTGTACAACACAAATAGTTGTTTATTTCCCAGAAATTTGGCATAAAAAACACGGTCGTAAGTCGAGTGGTAATAAGTCGAGCAGGTCGTAAGTCGGATGGTAGGTGTATTTTGTATTATTCCATTGTTTTTAGTGCTTGTAACTGCTAAATAAGCCACTATGGGCTCAAAGAAAGTTTGTAGTGCCAGTCCTGTGATAAAGAAGGAAAGAAACATGATAAAATTCAAGAAAAAATTCATAGCAAAATACCAAAGTGGAGGAGGAAGAGAGAGGGGAGAGTGTGCCTTCTGCAGTGATTCTTTGATATGTACAATACTAAAGCAGCAGGTAGATAAAGGCTATAGTGCCAGCCAGCGATAAAGTTTAGAATTAACAGTGAAGCAAGTAAGTTAAGCGAGTAAGCGATAGAAAAGCGACACAAAAGTAACTCTCCAATGTTGTTGGATGTGTATCGGGCCAATGAACATATGCCGGTCTGCTACGTATCTTCCACCACACTAAACCTCCATCTTCTCGATACCTCTAAATCTCCATTTAATAACTCTCCTCTCCTATTTTTAACTGTCATATCCATTTGTTCCCTAGGCTTCCTCAACTTATTAATCTCATTCCACAACTTTTTCTTTTTGTCAACAAAATTCGTTGATAACATCTTACCCACTCTCTCATTTGCTCTCTTTTTACATTGCTTCACCACTCTCTTAATCACTCTTTTTCTCTCCATATACTCTTCCCTTACTACTCTCTTTACATCATCATTCCACCAATTGCTCTTCTTCCCTCCCGCACCCACTTTCCTGTAACCACAAACTTCTGCTGAACACATTAACACTACATTCTTAAACCTACCCCATACATCTTCGACCCCATTGCCTATACTCTCACTAGCCCATCTATCCTCCAATAGTTGTTTATATCTTACCCTAACTGCCTCCTCTTTTAGTTTATACACCTTCACCTCTCTCTTACTTGCTGCTTCTATTTTCCTTGTATCCCATCTACCTTTTACTCCCACTGTAGCTACAACTAGAAAGTGATCTGATGTATCTGTGGCCCCTCTATAAACATGTACATCCTGAAGGAACCTCCCTTGAGGGGGAAGTACGCATCCTGAAATTTCTTTCGCATCCAGAAGCAAAAAATCGACCAAATGACGGTTCGTATCCTGAAAAGTTTGCATGGTGGGGCGTTTGTAAGCCAAAGTTCCACTGTATTTATGCATTTCTTAGTTTTAGAAAAACTGCTTGTTCTCTATCACTAAACATAAAAAATTTCAGTTGGTCTTGTCTGTGCTGTAAGGGTATCAGGTATATGACATGCTGGTGCCACTAGTGTAGCTAGGGTCATCCACCCTTGCCAAATTACATACAAGTTCTGGTTGAGTTTCTTTCACCATTTCATTGGATCCATTTCATGCACACATAAAAAACAAACTAGACCTACTCTCGATATCTGTGATTCCCCCAAATTTACACTTACACTCACCCAAATGACCGTAAACATAAAACCTTAAATAAAGCTATTGCCTAACAAATCTTAAATTAGTCATAAGTTTGCCTGAGATGCTCCATTATCGGAGCTTTAATAGAAACTGTGTATCATGCCAAGACAAAACCATTCTCATTGCTAAATTTACAAACTGTAATACAGTTACCCAGCTTTATTATAAATATGCTCCATAACCTGTATCAATATAGAATTAGAATTATTATTAGTCTGCCCGAAATGCCTAGTCATGCTAGACATGATAGTGGCCCTCTGTAATTAGTATTTTATAATATGTAAACCACACATTGTAACCAATATTTTATAATATGTAAACCCCACATTGTAATCTTTACAGAGAATAAACTTTTGATTTGATTTGAGGTGGATAAGAAGGCTGGCAAGGCAGTCTACAAGGTCATACTTAAGCCTGGTAATCCTAATCTGACTGGAAGTGTAGGCTGCTTCCTTTCTAGCATGGACTTAGCTTGGGGCTTAGCTGAGGGAGGGATGGACGGACATTGCCCTGGTCTGGGACCGGGCAGTGTGGGTGGTGACCTCCAGCAGCAACTCCATGTAATTATGAGCATTGATATTAATGATTCTGTTTTCCATCTTTTTGAAGTAGGAGTTATATTTTTCCAGAATCTTGGTAATAACATTAAACCCAAGCGGAGTGCTAAGGAGAGTACAATCAGTGGGATTGATGGCTTACACTCCTTGTAAGGCAGCTGTGACTTGCTAAGTGGTGTGTTGGCTAGAGGACACTAGTTATAATTTTGAGCAGTTTAGAGAGACGCCTAGATTCTCTCATTGCTCTTCAACTACAGTATTCGATTGTCCTCTAGCAGAAACTTTGTATTGTCAGCAAGCATGCCATTACTCAAGAACCAGATGTTGAGCTTACTGGTTAGGTCCTTAGTAATTTTTTTGCAAGCATGTTTGACAGGAGCGCATGGAGGCAAATGGTTTTTAATGGACATGCTATTGAAGTACAAGCAGGGTGACCTTTGTGAAGGGATTAAAGGAAACTGGTTAGTCAGACTTGAGTACTGGAGGTGGAAATGACGGTGCCTGCATTCTGGAGGGGTGGGGATGTTGCAGTCAGAGGGTAATCTGATTGATATGTCCTCACTTTTGGAAGGACAGCAATTCTGTGAATGTTGTTGAATGTGTCTTCTCTGGGTCACCTTGGGTTGGTGGGAGACAGTCAGTTTAAAAACATATATATACAGTAGACTGTTGTTTAACATGGTAGTTACTTTCCTGATAATGCCATGTTAGACAAAACCATGTTAGACAAACTGAAGAACTATGGGAAAATAGGGTTACATTCCTGGGGGCCCCCAAAAAGCCAAACAACTTTTTTTTAGACCTCCAGATCTTACAAAATAAAGGTGAATATGTAATTGTACTGCATTGTCATGATATATTAGTGCTTAAGACTACAAATGCAGTAGAAATAACAGTATTTCTTAACTTAAATTGTGGGTAATGGTGTTTGTGGATGATTGTGAAGAGAGTGGATATGGATGGTGTGGCCCTACTGGGCTGAGGTGGATGGTTGCTGGTTGTCGGCAGAAGTGGATGGTAGACGTTCTGGTACTGAAGTCGATGGTTGTATTGGAGTGTGCATAAATTCTGTAATGGATCTCTGGGCTCTTTTACCCTGCAGTACATTATACAGCTGACGGTAAGGCATCATCAGCTGGCCTAGACCCCGTTTCAAAGCACTACTTCTAGATTTGTCAGGGTCCTCTTCAGTGAAAGTCTGTAACTTTACCAATACATGTGATATGGAACTGCTCACGTAACTGCTACAATGTTAACTGTTTTTCTTCAGGTTCTTCTGTTATCTCCCTCCCTTGTATCTGTGCATTGAGCTCTGCTAACATTTCCTCTGGACTCCTGACTTCATCATCATCATCATCTTCAAAGACCTCATTCACATCATCTTCATTCATATCTTCAAAACCATCACCTGGTAATCTCCTTGCTGGGAGGGTGGTGTGGGTGGCTTAGGGAGGTGGGGGATGGCAATTGGTCTCCACTGTTGACACAGTGGTGTAACCCACTAACCCACAGACCATCCCACCCAGCGGGCGCCCAGGCGCTCAACATGTTTTCCCTTCACGTAACAGTGTTAAACTAATTTTACGAAGTGTTAAACAAAAATATGCCGCAATTCTTCAATCGTGCTATGACAAAAATGTTCAAGACAAAATCGTGTTCAACGATGGTCAACTGTTCATACTTTGTGTGTGCATGTGCATGCTATGACTCAACCCCTGCAACCACAATTAGGTGAGTACATACATATACTCATGCATACATTTATTTATTTGTACTAAACCTACAATTTTATTTTGCCTGACATTAAGATACAGACTAAAGATTGAATTCTAAACTTAAATTAATCTTTTCTAATCAGGTTGTGAAGTGTTTGGTGAGGTGTTTCCTGATGGACACACACAGATTATAAATTGCCACAACTATACTTGTAATTCTGGTTCATTGGATATTGTTAGCATAGTGGACACGTGTGAGTATCATGCAGTTTACCTGTCAGATTGCAGTAGTGTTACAAAATAGTTTGTTTTAAAAAAATTGTCATCTTATAAAATTAGTAGTTAACTTGTATAACAGTTCCCTTACAAAATTAATAGCTGCCTGAGAAAAAGAGCAGCTATTACAAAATTTTATTTTACACACAAAAGAAATTACTGAGGTAGGTTGTCGTACATAAGACAATTTGCGGTTCATTACTCAAGCCCTGAGTTGCATTCCACAATTCATATTATAATTTTTTTTCAAAATCAAAGTTCTCAGATCAGTTGAATTTCTAAGATAGAGGAGGAGGGGCAAAGCCCATTTCACTAGTCATATTCCAAAATTTATCAAAGGCCATAAATAAAATATTTTGGAGTAGGAAGGTGGAAGGTATAATATTTACATCTTTAATTCACAGAATGGGATTTTTAGTCATTAATGAACCAGACAGCTTGTTTGATACATTTCCATACTATATCCAGTATATTATACTGTATAATGGGTGATGAGTAGATAGAGCATATTTTTCTAAGCACTCTTTTTATGTTATAAGTGATATGTCATAATCATAAATGGATATAGTGAGATATGGTCACCTATGTTGGGTTAATGAAATGCATTTGAAGCAAAATGAGAGGCATAGCAGAGCAAAACATCCTTCTTGCATATGTCTTAAATTTTTCCTATAACCTGTAATAATTTAAATGCAAAACCAGACATCTTGTAACATTTAGAAATTCGGTATCCTATTCTAGTAGCTGCAAAATGACCTCTGAATATTATGAGCTAAGTTGCAACATTGTTTGTCACTATTTACATATGTACTATGTATCTAGCTATCTTCCATAGTAAATTAATATTTTCCATACATTTAAGTAGCATAAAGTAAAAAACCGCGACTAACATTCAACTGTCCATTTACCAGTCATATTGTGTGTACTTATTCAGAACAATGACTCATGTTCAGTACTCTTAATTTTGATAGTGTATCATTTTGTTATAACTTTGCACAGGTTGTGAGGTATACTCTAATAACCACACATGGACTCAAGGTTGCCATAACTATACATGCAAGTATGGCTTATCAGAAGCTGTTGGTGTATTACACACATGTGAGTATTTTCTTAATGTTCATTATTGACATTAAATGAAGTGATGTAAATGAAACTCCTTGTATCCATCAGTAATGTCTGTCATGCAGGATACTGTAGTCCTTGGTTAATCTGAGTTAATGGGTAATTTCTACAACGTACCTCCAATTTAAAATTTGGTTTGCAGTGTAACCATCTCCCAGTGATCTTAACCCTTTCAGGGTTGGTGCCGTACTAGTACGGCTTGCACGCCAGGGTTGGTGCCGTACTAATACGCATAAATTCTAGCACCTTCAAATGTAGCGAGAGAAAGCTGGTGGGCCTACATATGAAAGAATGGGTCTATGTGGTCTGTGTGCAGTATAAAAAAATCCTGCAGCACGCAGTGAATAATGAGAGAAAAAAGAACTCTGACCGTGTTTTTGGTTTAAAACAGCAATTTTGCACTGTATTTTCGTATGCTACTTATGGTTGTATTCTAGTTTTCCTGGTCTCATTTTATAGAATGGAAGACATATTATGGAAATTGAGATGATTTTTATTGGTTTCACAATGAAAAGTACCTTGAAATTGAGCTCAAAGTAGCAGAAATGTTCAATTTTTGCCAAAGTTCAAAAGTAAATAAATGAAGCCATGCATCCAATACACATCAACTGGTGAGTCTAATATTCTTGCACAAGTGAGCTGATGTTATTTATACCTTTTCTACACCATTTCTACACTAATGCAGTTGTCTGCATAACAGTAAATCTTCAATTTTTTGAGAATAAAAATTCAAAGTGCAAAGCAAAAGAAATGTAACAGAGGCCTAGGGACATGACTAATGAACAAAATGAAATGTTATTTTAGTGCCAGGAATGTCTGTCTTGTTTATTCTGGACCCTATTTGGAAATTGGCATCTTTTGAAATTTGTGTGAAATTGGCAAAAATTGCCAATTTCGGACCACTTTATTGGATAGTTAAAATCGGTAAATGGATGGTTTCTTGTATTCATTCGATAGAAAAAAGTGGAGTTCTAGCGAAATAGTTATGATTTTTGTCGACTGGTACATAGGAATTGGCTGAAAATAGGGCTCAAAGTGGGCGAAATCGTTGAGACCGCTAACTTTGCGAGAGCATAAGTCCGTAAGTTTCCCATCAAATTTCATACTTTTGGTGTCATTATGATCAGGAAAAGATTCTCTTATCATTTCATAAGATTTTTTTTTTTTTTTTTTTTTTTTTTAACCCTGAGAGCAAGTTTAGGAGAGGGCCTGCCAACCCTGAAAAGGTTAAATAACAGTGGAATTGTTATAGCCACTAAAAAAAAAAATTGATTAGGTTTCTGCAAATGAAAACAATTCAATATTTTAAATTTTATTGAACTTTTCTTTATGAAAAGTACTTACAGCAACCATGGATGCTTTTTGTCCATATGCTTCAATTTTGCATACAGCCAGTTTTATCATGTGCCTCATTATACAACATGTACAATAGGTATATTAGTTTTTGGTATTCAAGGTGCTCTTCTCAGTATTGGCTCTTATAGTATTGACTACAATAGTTGCATAAAGGAAGGGCAACCATTGTTGTATTTTAAGGTAAGTATTATACATACTGTTTATTTTACTTTATCTGTCTTTTATGCTTAGGTATTTTAAATGCCTAGGCATTTAAGACACATTTGATAATGACAAAAAGGTATTAATCATTCAGCACTGTGCTGCAAATTGGTGGCTGATGTTGGGAGGCAAGAGGCAGAAGTGTGAAGGGCAAGCCAAAGAGTAGGGGAAAATCATAGTTTTTGCAGCAAATCTATCATAGCCAGTCATAGAGAGAGAGAGAGATTCTGCAGAAAATGTGGAACCTATTAAAAGGAAGACAAACAGAATGAATATGTCAGTGTTAAGCACAAATGATATAAAATACCGACACAGTGAAAAAAGAGATAAATGCAGCATAATGCAATCCTTTATTGGCAGTAAAGAACAAAAAGGCACAATACCGTGACTGGAACAATACACAAATGACCCACACATAAGAGGGAGGAGCTTCCAACGACATTTCAGTCCGGCTTGGACCATTTACAAAGTCACATTGACAATGTTTTGTCCATACAATGGGCTTTATATAAAGCCAGTGTTTTTGCTCACTATGTGGTCAGAATGTTGTTAATAAAGGATCAAATTATACTGCATTTGTCTTTTTACCCATTTCACTGTTTTGAAAACGAAATCAAAATGAAGTCTGCATGTTCTCTAATGACTGAAGGGTCTGATAATTCTCACAGAGTGCCTCTCCATATGTCTAAAAGTAGAAAAGTGAAACTGGAACTTGAAGATGGGGAATGGTAGACATGAACTATAGGAAGAAGTACAAGACAGAAAGAACAAGAAAATAAGGTAGAATGGTGGACCTAAATGAGTTTACTACACTTGATGGCAGGTAAGTAAATTCAGGAGATACTTTTTTATCAACACTTTTTTTTTTTTTTTTTTAACCAAGTTGGCAGTCTCCCACTTAGGAAGGTTGACCCGAAAAGGAAGAAAATCCCCAAAAAGAAAATACCTTTACCCCCTCCCTATGTAATTTTTATAATTACACCATTATGGTCTAACGTTTAACAGGTTGTGAGGTACTTGGTGAGGTTTACCCTGATGGACACACTTGGACTCAAAGTTGTCATATCTACACCTGCAAAAAGGGTTTCTTGGAGACTCTTGGTGTATTAGATTCATGTGAGTATCTCTTGTTATTATACTTGTGGAAGAGCTAAATTCGTAAAGATCACATAGTACCTCAAGATTTGGAGGTAATCAGAATCTCTTGATTTTTCTGTCTCTTACAATAACAAGTAAATACCATTAAGCTTGCTGTTATTTTAGTCATATGGGAATATTATTTTTTTTTCCCAACAAGTCGGCCGTCTCTCACCAAGACAGGGTGACCCAAGAAGAAAGAAAATCCCAAACACTTTCGCCTTACTCATACATAATTACTGTCTTTGCAGAGGAGCTCAGATATGACAGTTTAGAAGTCCCTCCAAACTGTCAGTATCCCAGACCCCTCCTTTAAAGTGCAGGCATTGTACTTCCCATTTTCAGGACTCAAGTCCGGCTAACTCCATAATAACCGGTTTCCTTGAATCCCTTCACTAAATATTACCCTGTTTACACTCCAACAGCTTGTCAGGTCCCAAAAACCATTCATCTCCATTCACTCCTATTTAACACGCTCATGCACGCTTGCTGGAAGTCCAAGCCCCTCGCCCTTGAAACCTTTTCCCCCCTCCCTCTAACCTTTTTGAGGACGACTCCTACCCCACCTTCCTTCCCCTACAGATTTATACGCTCTTCAAATCATTCTGATTTGTTCCATTCTCTCTAGTGACCATACCACCTCAACAACCACTCTTCAGCCCTCTGACTAATAGTTTTAGTAACTCAATTCCTCCTAATTTCCACACTATGAATTCTTTGCATATTATTTACGCCACACATTGCCCTTAGGCACATCTCCATCTCCAGCCTCCTCCTCGCTGTAGCAGTTACAATCCATGCTTCACACCCATATAAGAGTGTTGGTATCACTATACTCTTGCACATTCCCTTCTTTGCCTCAATGGATGACGTTTTTTGTGTCCACAGATACCTCAAAGCACCACTCGCCTTTTTTCCTTTATCAGTTCTATGGTTAACCTTGTCCTTCATAAACCCATCTGCTGACAATTCTACTCCCTTCTTCCATACTCCCTCCCTCCAGTGTGATATGCAATTTATCTTTACCTAACTCATTTGATACCTTTATCACCTTACTCTTATCTATGTTCAATTTCAACTTTCTTCCTTTACATACCCTCCCAAACTCATCCACTAACCTTTGCAACTTCTCTTTAGAATCTCCCAAAGGCACAGTATCATCAGCAAAAAGTAACTGTGTCAACTCCCATTTTGTATTTGATTTCCCCAGTGAATATACTTTAATAATAATCATTTAGAATATGCATGACCAGTGCTTGAGCACCAAGATCATTTTTTTTTTGTCATAGCTTACATGTACATCAGTTTGCTAGCTTCAAAATTAAAATATTGAAAACAAATAGGGTAATTTCACTGTTTCATCCTTATGTAGGTTGTGATGTGCTTAGTGAGATGTACCCTGACAGTCACACCTGGACTCAAGGCTGTCATAAGTATGTGTGTAAAAATGGCTTAGCAGAAGCAGTAGGTGTAATTAACACATGTGAGTTTTTTCATAATTGTCTTTGTTGCAATATATATTTTTAAATGTCTCATATATGTATAATCCATGAGAAATTTAAGCATAGGGAAAATTTTTTCTCATCTCCAGGCTCTTAGTGGGAAGCAGTAAACCTGTAAGGGTCATACAGTGCCTGGGGAATGAGAGGCAATTAGGTTTGATCCAGTGAAGGGAAGGACAATTGCAATTCCTTGGATCAAGAATCCCCTTGCCAAAATTATACTACTGTACCCATTTAAAGCAACAATAGTGTTGAATTGTGTAAGAAGCTATATTAATGAATCTTAGAACATAGTATATAAGCATTGGTATTTATGAATTATGCTATACCAAGTATGTACTTAAAAAAGATCCTGGTGCTCAATTGATTATTAGCTCTGTCTGGTGTTATTGGCTGCTGTACTTTGTGTCCTTCTAGGTACCTTGATGCTAGTGAAGGATGTCATCCCAGGAACCAGATTTATCTTACCCTTCTTTAGATCAGTACTGAATGCATCCCATTCCTCAGGCACTACATGATCCCTAAGGTTGAGAATTTCACTCCTCCTCCCTCCTGATTAACCCTTTGACTGTCGCAACCCCCTTTCTGAAACTGTTGCAAAATTTTTGGAAAAAAAAAATTATTTTTTCTTGTGAAATGATAGAGAATCTTTTCCCGATGGTAATGACACCAAAAGTACGAAATTTGGTTGAAAACTCACGGAATTACGCTCCCGCAAAGTTAGCGGTCTTGGCGACATATACGCATTGGTGATTTTGCCGACTTTGAGCCCAGTTTTTGGCCAATTCCGTTGTTCCAGTTGACCAAACTCAGCTATTTCTTTAGAACTCCATTTTTCCTATCAATTAAGTACAAGAAACTTCCCATTTACCAATTAGAACTACCCAATAAAGTGGTCAGAAATTGGCAATTTGGCCAATTTCACGCAAATTAAAAAAGATGCCAATTTCAAAATAAGGTCCAGAATAAACAATGTAGACATTCTTGGCACTAAAATAACATATCCTCTGTTCATTAGTCATGTTTAAAGGCCCTTCTTATATTACTATTGCTTTATATTTTGATTTTTTATTCTTACAAAAAATACAAAATTTACTGTTATGCAGACTACTGCATTATTGTAAAAATGCTATAAATAATATCAGTGCACTAGTGAAAGAATATTAGACTCCCCAGTTGATGTGTATTGGATGTGTGGTGTGATTTGCTTACTCTTGAACATTGGTAAAAATCGAACATTTCCGCTATTTGAGCCCAATTTCAAGGTTGTTTTCATCATGAAACTAATCAAAATCATCTCTATTTATGCAATATGTTTTCCATTTTATCATGTGAGACCATGAAAACGAGAATACAACAATAAACACTACAAGAAAATACACCTCAAAGTCTGCATTTTAACCCTTTGACTGTTGCGGCCGTATATATACGTCTTACGAGGTACCGTGTTTGACGTATATATACTCATAAATTCTAGCAGCTTCAAATCAAGCAGGAGAAAGCTGGTAGGCCCACATGTGAGAGAATGGGTCTGTGTGGTCAGTGTGCACCATATAAAAAAAATCCTGGAGCACGTAGTGCATAATGAGAAAAAAAAAAACTCCGACCGTATTTTTTAATTAAAATGCCGAATTTGTGGTCTATTTTCGTATAGTATTTATGGTTGTATTCTCGTTTTCTTGGTCTCATTTGATAGAATGGAAAATATATTATAGAAAAAGAGGTGATTTTGATTGATTTTACTATAAAAAAAACCTGGAAATGGAGCACAAAGTAGGGAAAATGTTTGATTTTTGCCAATGTTCAAAAGTAAACAAATGATGTCATTGTCCAATAAATGTCCAACTAGCCATTCTAATATGCAGTCATGAATGGGTTGATGTTATTTATACAATTATTACAATATTGCAGTAGTCTGCATAATAGTAAGTCTTCTATTTTTTGTTTGAATAAAAATTCAAAATAGAAAGCAAGAGTAATATCAGAGGGGCCTGGAGACATGACTGATGAACAAAGAAAATGTTATTTTAGAGCCAGGAATGTCTGCATTGTTCATTCTGGACCTTATTTTGAAATTGTCATATTTTTTAATTTTCGTGAAATTGGCCAAATTGCAAATTTCTGACCACATTATTAGTTAGTTGAAATCAGTAAATGGGCAGTTTCTTGTACTCAATCGATAGAAAAAATGGAGTTCTAAAGAAATAGCTGAGAGTTTGGTCGACTGGAACAACGGAATTAGCCGAAAATAGGGCTCAAAGTGGGCGAAATCGCTGATTTGTAAATATCGCCGAGGTCGCTAACTTTGCGAGACCGTAATTCCGTCAGTTTTCCATCAAATTTCGTTTTTTTGGTGTCATTACAATCGGGAAAAGATTCTCTATCATTTCACAAGAAAAAATAATTTTTTTTTTAAATTTTGCGACACCAGGAGACACCTCAGGATTGGGGGTTGCGACAGTCAAGGGGTTAATCCAAAAAACGGTCAGTTTTTTTTCTCATTATGCACTGCGTGCTGCAGGATTTTTTTTATGTGGTGCACACTGACTACTCAGACCCATTCTCTCACATGTGGGCCTACCAGCTTTTTCCTGCTTGATTTGAAGCCGCTAGAATTATTGAGTATATATACATCTGAAACACTGGCTTGTAAGACGAATATATACATGTACGCCCAAAACAGTCAAAGGGTTAAGGGATCTTACTCCTGTATTGATGACAATGTGCCCACACAGTGCACTTTATCAAGCTATGGATTGATACAGCCCACAGTGAAATATCATTAACCCTTTGACTGTTTCGGTCATATGTATACGTCTTACGAGCCACCGTGTTTGACGTATATATACACACTGTACTCATAAATTCTAGCGGCTTCAAATCAAGCAGGAGAAAGCTGGTAGGCCCACATGTGAGAGAATGGGTCTGTGTGGTCAGTGTGCACATATCAAAAAAATCCTGGAGCACGCAGTGCATAATAAGAAAAAAAAAAAATCCGACCGTTTTTTAAATTAAAATGCCGACTTTGTGGTCTATTTTCGTATAGTATTTATGGTTGTATTCTTGTTTTCTTGGTCTCATTTGATAGAATGGAAAACATATTATAGAAATAGAGTTGATGTTGATTAGTTTTACTATAAAAAGAATCTGGTAATGGAGCCGATGTTCAAAAGTAAACAAATGATGTCATTTTCTAATAAATGTCCAACTAGCCATTCTAATATGCAGTCATGAATGGGTTGACATTATTTGTACAATTATTACAGTATTGCAGTAGTCTGTATAACAGTAAATCTTCTATTTTTTGTTTGAATAAAAATTCAAAATAGAAAGCAAGAGTAATATCAGAGGGGCCTGGAGACATGACTGATGAACAAAGAAAATGTTATTTTAGAGCCAGGAATGTCTGCATTGTTCATTCTGGACCTTATTTTGAAATTGTCATATTTTTTAATTTTCGTGAAATTGGCCAAATTGCAAATTTCTGACCACGTTATTGGGTAGTTGAAATCGGTAAATGGGCAGTTTCTTGTACTCAATCGATAGAAAAAATGGAGTTCTAAAGAAATAGCTATGAGTTTTATCGACTGGAACAATGGAATTAGCCGAAAATAGGGCTCAAATTGGGTGAAATCGCCGATTTGTAAATATCGCCGAGGTCGCTAACTTCACGAGAGCATATTTCCGTCAGTTTTCCATCAAATTTCGTTCTTTTGGTGTCATTACAATCGGGAAAAGATTCTCTATCATTTCATAAGAAAAATAATTTTTTTTATTTTTTTTTAAATTGTGACACCAGGAGTCAGGATTAGGGGTTGCGACAGTCAAGGGGTTAATAAAGGAATACATTATACTGCATCTTCCTGTCTTTTTCCATCATGTTGGTACTTTATACCATTTATCTCTACACTCCCTTTGTTTGGATCAAATCTCATTTACTACTATTTCCCAGTTGCCATATGACACGGGTTTGTCTTTCCCACGAATACAGTTAAAACTGTTAAAGGTTCAGGGCTAAATGTGTTGCTGAAGGTTTTGCAGGAGCAAGTTTCCCAAGCTGCAGCTTGTGGTAAAGCTGGCTTTGTTTATACAATATTTGTCATGGAGGTGCATGAAACCCATAGGGATCAAACTGCCTGGGGCAACAGGAGGCAATCAGGTTAGATCCAGAGGGAAGAAAAGATTCATTTATATTATATCAGGAACCCCTCTCCAGCATCAAGGACCCTCCATTACCTGTGACCTGTTTTTGGAGTCTTCCTAATCCTCAGCCGAGCCTGGAATCTGACTACGCTATTGATTACTTGGTAGACCAGGTCATTACTGGTGGTTGCCTGCCTCATAGGACTTGTTTTTACATAACTTTAGCTAACCTTCAGTGAAAGCTTTATAGTTTGTCACATATACAGGGAGTAATTGATCAAACTAATAATATATCCATATTAATTACCAATTTTGAGAGAAAACATTTTTGTTGCATAAAAAAAAAAAAAAATTAACCTTAGGAGATTTGAGAAACTGTATTTGTTTTTAATACTGCTTAAAACCACATCAATGAATTCATACTGATTGAGAAAATGGAGTGAAAATTATTAAATAGATGCCCATCGAGGCAGGGAGGCATTCAGGTTTGATCCAAGGGTGGACAAATTCAGTTCCTTGGATCAAGAGCCCCTCACCAGCATCTTCCTTGAGGGGTCCCCTACAGTTTGATAGACATTAAGCCTATTACATCAGAGGAATGCACTACAATATTCATGTGTTAATGAGACACTTCAACTACTATAATATTGCTGTAAGTTATTTTTTTGTAACTAAACCATAATTATTTGCAGGTTGTGAAGTGCTTGGTGAAACTTATCATGATGGACATGCATGGATCAAAGATTGCCAAAATTACTCTTGTAACTCTGGTATATTTAAGAATGTAACTCTTACAAATTGTCATGACACTGGTACGTACCTTATTCATTCAATTATACATAATTAAATCCCAGAAATTTTTGAGTACTTTGTATATTTTGATACTGTACTTTGTTAACCCTTCATGGGGACTGCCTTGATGCCAGTGAAAAAATCTTTATCCTAAGAGAGCTATTCTTTCCTTGGATTGAACTTGATTACCTCCCATTTCACAGGTGCTGAATAACCCCTTAACAGTTTTTTTTTTAAACACCAGCTATCTCCTACTGAGATAGGGTGACCTGTCACCTTGTATGAAATATATAGTGGTGATTTGATCTCCACACCATAAAGAAAAACATGACAGGAAAAATCCAGACTACTTCCAGAGTTCAAAAAAATGTTAGGAATGATGAAGACACTAAAAATGACTTTTTTTTTTCTGATATCAAATTAAGGGGAGACATGATAGCTCTACATAATTATTACTTTCAGGTATAATTATTACTTTCAGGCACGTACATGCATATACAGTGGAGCCTCCACTAACGAGTTTAATCCGTTACATGACTTTGCTCGCATCTAGATTTGCTGGTTTGCAGAGTTAATTTTCCTCGTTGAAATTAATTGAAATGGAATTAATTCGTTCCAATGGAATTCCAGGCACCATAAAATACTTCATTAATTTCCCTAATATCAACTCTACGCTTATTTATCTATCACAATTCATCTAATATGACATAAACAATATAAATAACATAGAAACCTGATATATACTCTAGAATGAATAAAATGTCATTGTGACAAGTGGAGGTGGCTATGACCACTCTACCGTTGTTGTGGTGAACACTGCCATCTAGTGATAGCCTTTTGAAGCCGTCTATTATTATAATTATTATATAGTACATTATTATTGTACATTTATTATATGTATTATATTATTATTATATTATTATTATTATTATTATTATTATTATTATTATTTATTATTATATATTATACTATTGTTATTATAATTATTATTACAATATAAATAATTTGAAATTGTTATTCACACAAAATATAGAAGATTTACTGTTATGCAGGCTACTGTATTATTGTAATAATTGTATAAATAATGTCAATCCATTCATGACTGCATATTGGAATGGAGGTGACGTCATTTGTTTACTCTTGAACATCGGCAAAAATAGAACATTTCTGCTACTTTGAGCTCATTTTCAAGGTACGTCTTGTCATGAAACCATTCAAAATTATATCTATTTCTGTAATACACCTACCATCCGACTTACGACCTCCTCGACATACGACTACTTGACTTAAGACCATGTTTTTTATGCCAAATTTCTGGCAAATAAACAACTGTTTGTATTGAAGTCACCGAGATTATAAAGTCACTTAAAAATAACTCAGGGAATCTGTCTCATGTCCCACCATTATTGTAAAAGCGAGCGGCCCATGTCCTTTTGCATGCTATTTCATTACTAGCACCTTCCCGAAACTACTAGAGCTGGCAAGGGTTACACCAATACATAAAGGTGGTGACCCTACAGATTTAAACAACTATAGGCCAATATCAAACTTACCATTGCTATCCAAAATCTTTGAGAAACTCGTGCACAGGAAACTATATTCATTTATAACGGCACAAAACATACTCAACCCCTGCCAATTTGGATTCAGGAAAAATAAAAGCACTAATGATGCAATTATAAAAATGCTAGATCTGCTTTACACAGCATTGGAAAATAAGGAATATCCACTAGGAATTTTTATTGACCTAAGAAAAGCTTTTGACACAGACCACGGCATCCTACTCCACAAACTTGACCATTATGGTATAAGAGGCCATGCGCTTGCATATTTCAAATCTTACCTTGCTAATAGGTATCAGTATGTCACCATTAAAGACACAGCATCAACAACACGGCCACTTGATACTGGAGTTCCGCAGGGAAGTGTCCTTGGTCCCCTGCTCTTCCTCATATACATCAATGATCTTCCAAACGTATCCCAACACCTGAACCCCATTCTCTTTGCTGACGACACGACTTATGTCATCTCTCACCCTAATCTTGCCACCCTCAACACCATTGCTAACGAGGAGCTGATCAAAATATCGACTTGGATGACAGCCAATAAACTTAGGCTTAACACTGACAAAACCTACTATATTATGTTTGGTAGCAGAGCAGGAGATGCGCAAATTAACATTAAGATCGACAACACTCTAATTGCCAGGAATAATGAGGGCAAATTCCTAGGCCTATACCTTGACAACAACCTGAATTTCAGCACCCATATCCAACACATAACCAAAAAAGTATCCAAAACGGTTGGGATCCTCTCCAAGATACGATACTACGTGCCGCAAACTGCCCTTCTCACACTATACCATTCACTTATATATCCATACCTCACCTATGCTATCTGTGCTTGGGGTTCAACTGCAGCAACACACCTAAAGCCAATAATAACCCAACAAAAAGCCGCAGTAAGAATAATCACTAAATCCCATCCCTGGCAACACACCCCCCCACTCTTCATAGATCTAAACTTACTCCCTGTTCAGTACATCCACACTTACTACTGTGCAATCTACATCTACTGGACCTTAAATTCCAATATTAACCTTGACCTAAAACGCTTTCTTGATAGTTGTGACGGAACCCACAGGCATAACACCAGACACAAACATCTCTATGACATTCCCCGTGTCCGACTAAACCTTTACAAAAATTCAATGTATGTCAAAGGCCCTAAAATCTGGAACACCCTACCTGAAAACTCTAGAACTGCAGACACATTCATCACCTTCAAAACTACCATTAGAAAACATCTTATCTCCCTGATACACCCCGTCAACTAATTACACGAATACCACCTGGTGGTTAACACTTACACTCACTTACCCATTTGACCATAAACAGAAATATCAGTCTCAATCTTAAAATAATGAATCCTAACTAGTCATAAGTTGGCCTGTGATACTCCAATACTGAAACTATGTATTGTGCCAAAACAAAAGCATTCACATTGCTAAACTCACAAACTAGTATTTAGTCACTTAGCCATAATACCAACTTACCTCATAATTTGTAATATTTTAAATTTAAGAATTAGTCTAAGTCTGCCTGAAATGCCTAGCCATGCTAGGTGTTCTAGTGGCACCCTCTGTAATTAGTACTTTACTACATGTAAACCACACAATAACCAAATTCTGTAAACTCAGCATTGTCATCCTTATAGAGAATAAACTTCGAATTTGAATTGAATTGAATTGTACACAGTGTTTATCCTAAACCTTACAGTATAAAATACAGTACTAACAGCATAAAAAATAAAATAAAAAATGAAATACCAAAATAAAACAATAAAATAGTCATTACAAAAATGTAATGTTGAAATTCAACAGTAAGGTTCGACTTACGTCCATTTTGACTTATGACCAGTTGGTCAGAACCAAGCTCGGTCGTAAGTCAGATGGTACCTGTATTTCTTTCATTCTATCAAATGACTTAAAAAAAAAAAACGAGAATACAACCATAAAAACCGTAAGAAAATACTGCTAAGGGGCGGCTAATTGCCGAGAAGTGAACTCCATTATTTATGGTCCAATTTCTTTAATTTTTGGTGTATGTTAAGAAGCATCTTTCCATTATACAATGCCCAAGTTCCAATAAGATAGCCCAACAAACAAATGAGATCCAATTACCTAGATCAAGAGCAGGAGCCCCTCACCAGCATCATTGAACCTCCTTTGAGGCCCACTCGTTTATGGAAATTTTGTTTGCGTATGGAAGCAAAAAATCGATCTATCAACTGCTCGTATTTGGAAAAACTCGCATGTGGATGTGCTCGCAAGTGAAGGTTCCACTGTATGTACATAAACACATCTAGGTTTTTCTTCCTTTTTCTAAATAGCTCTTGTTCTTTTTTATTTCCTCTATTGTCCATTAGGAAGTGGAAAAGAATCTTTCCTCCATAAGCCATGCGTGTCGTATGAGGTGACTAAAATGCCAGGAGCAATGGCCTAATAACCCCTTCTCCTGTAAACAGTTCCTAAAAAAAAAGAAGAAATTTTTTTATAAAACTGGGATGCTTGAATGTGGGTGGACGTAGTGCAGATGATGATAGAGATGATTGCTGATGTTATGAATGAAAAGAAGTTGGATGTCCTGGCCCTAAGTGAAACAAAGCTGAAGGGGGTAGGCGAGTTTTGGTGGGGAGAAATAAATGGGATTAAGTCAGGAGTACCTGAGAGAGTTAGAGCTAAGGAAGGGGTGGCAATAATGTTGAAGGATCAGTTATGGAAGGAGAAGAGGGAATATAAATGTGTAAATTCAAGGATTATGTGGATTAAAATAAGGGTTGGATGTGAAAAGTGGGTCATAATAAGTGTGTATGCACCAGAAGAGAGAAGTATAGAGGAGAGAGATTTTGGGAGATGTTAAGAGAATGTATAGGAACCTTTGAACCAAGTGAGAGAGTAATTGTGGTAGGGGACCTAAATGCTAAAGTAGGAGAAATATTTAGAGGGGGTGTGGTAGGTACATTTGGGGTGCCAGGTGTAAATGATAATGGGAGCCCTTTGATTGAACTTTGTATAGAAAGGGGATCAGTTATAGGTAATAGTACATATTTTAAGAAAAGGAGGATAAATAAGTATACAAGATATGATGTAGGGCATAATGACAGTAGTTTGTTGGACTATGTATTGGTAGATAAAAGACTTTTGAGTAGACTTCTGGATGTACATGTTTATAGAGGGGCTACAGATATATAAGATCACTTTTTAGTTGTAGCTACAGTAGAGTAAAAGGTAGATGGGATACAAGGAAAATAGAAGCAGCAAGTAAAAGAGAGGTTAAGGTTTATAAACTAAAAAAGGAGGCAGTTGGGTAAGATATAAACAATTATCGGAGGATAGATGGGCTAGTGAGAGTATAGGCAATGGGGTTGAAGATGTATGGGGTAGGTTTAAGAATGTAGTGTTCGTGTGTTCAGCAGAAGTGTGTGGTTACAGAAAAGTGGGTGCAGGAGGGAACAAGAG